ATTTTTTTCTTGTCAGTTATTTTTAAATTACACTATTTCTTGTTTACGCGGTTACGCCAAGTTTTGAATGTTGTATTTAAAAAAAAAAAATCAATAATTATAGTAACGTGTAAAATAATCCTAATTTATTGTGATGATATCGTTTTTTTTTATTGGACCTACCCAAAGGGTCGATACGAAACTGAGCCCAGTCTGGGTAGGTCATCTTGACCGCTAACAAGCATACCGGTCAAAACCAGGTGACCCGGCCAATCCTGACATTAACCTGACTGAGTCAACATGGTTTGAACCGACCGTTTAATTATTATTTTGTATTTGTAGATATTTTTTATTTTAAAAGTGAATTCTATATACTTATGTAGTAAATGTTCATAACAAAATACTATATTAATATACTCTAGGTATATAAACAATTGACTCCATGATTCAAAGGCCAATCTAGGTCATTTACCGGGTCTTGTTTAAAAACATTGGATTTTATGTTGAATAGTATATCTAAATATGAGTTGATTTGATATACTCATCAAATTTGGTTGGTCCAAATAAAGATACATTGATATACACCTAAAAATACACAGCACTTCCAATCTCCACCTAATGGAAGAGCCCCCAATAGAATCAAGAATTGTTTCTAAATACTAAAATCAATACATTATATCAAGAACCATAGAAGGTATAATTGAACTTGAGCATTTTATTCTTTCACCACGAAAAAAAAATAAAAAAATTAGCCTTTATTCTTTGCAATGCGCACTTCGTAGCCGAATCATCTTCAAGATACTATGAAATATTTGAATTTTAATCCGACCCCTTTTGGGAGGTAGAGCAACCGCTTTACTAGGAATCCTATTACCTTCTTCAGCCATGAATGAAATTAGCTGATAGGAAAACAATGGCAAACACAAAAGCACATATATAAGTGTAATATATGTAGAAGGAAACTACTTTTTGTTTTTGGGATAATAAATTAGACAAGACATAAACAAAAGAGCCTATTAATTACCTGGGTTTGTTGGGGGGGATATTAATAAACAGACTTAAAATTAATTTGCAGTACAAAACATTCGAGAGATAGAAATCTCAAATTTATAGTGTTTGAAAATCTACATAGAGCACCAATAATAGTGCAATATGTACACATGGACATTGTTTTCCATATGATAAGGATGTTTGAAAAGGACAAATCATGGGCTAAGGGAGCAGAAAGAGTGATCTTGGCCCAATTGGTGTCATATGTTGTAGACAAGATAAAACATCAGATTTGATTTTTATATTTTATTTTTTAAAATATTTATTATGCGCTTTTTTTAGATTTTAAAATTTGTTACATTTAATTTAAACCTTTTAAAACTCAGTATCGAATTTTTCATTTGAAATTTCAAAGTCTTAAACAATTCATGAGATATTCAATTGTCTGAATATTTTTAGACTTATTGATTTTCAAAAATAAAATATATATAAGAAATATCACACCAAAATTCAGATGAAAATAAAATAAAATAAATCTCTAATTTTAATAACTCTATAAAACATGAGATACAGGAGACATAGGAGAACAATAATAAAGTGGAACGTAAGTTCGTGTTAGTTCTTTTGGCATACCATCTATGGTCCACCGTGTTTCTAATAGTGGGAGATTACCAAATTTGTTCTAGAGTCGAGACTTGAGACACGTTGATTTTCAAAGTCTTACGGGTCAACCATTATAAAATATCATAAATTGACTACAAATATTAGAAATTACTTATTATCTAGAAAACCAATGCATAATAATTAATATCACAAATTTAGTATAAATGTTATAAAATAATTATTCGCTATAAAAAATGACACGTCTTAAACTATTGCCCCAATATAAGAAGTTGTTTAAAAATCTCCCATTTAATTATATTGCTCTATAAGATTGATTGAACTCATTGTGGCTTTTCATTTGAAATTTGGTTTACTTTTTATGTAGATACATTGTATCTTGTGAATCTATGAACCTAATGGAGATCTAATTTATTTTTTCACACTCCACATTATCCAGATCCAGTTTAATTATTTCATTGAAAAATAGTTACAAGCATAAAAAAAGGTCACGTGACATTTGATTTATTAATTTTTAATTAAATTCAAACATCGAAGATTATTTTTGCTAACACAAATTACAAAATGATCAACACGTTCAACAATAAAAAAAATAATAATAATAACAACAACAACAATAACAACAACAACAACAATAATAATAATAATAATACATATAATTCTCAAATGCGCTGAACCTAAGTGGCAGACTCGTGTGTTTCGTAAGCTTATTAGGCATAAATTGGTACTTCGTATTGACACATGTTAAAGTTTAGCTTTGACTATTAGGCTTGGGAATTACCATAAACTATTTTAATTTTTTTTTTATTAAGTTACCATATACTACTCTTACCTTTATTGTTTAATTCATATATTAATTATTATAAATATTTATTCTTTTTATTTTTAAAACTTTATTATTTTTGTATAAAATAATATAAAATATTATTTATCAATTTAAATAGATTATATAAAAAATTGAATGTTATTATTTTAATTAAAATAGTAAATATAAAATAATATCATAATTAACTATAATAAAATAATTTTGTATTTCATAAATTAGAAAATAATATATTTTACGTAAATTCTAAATTACTAATTATATGAATTTAAAATACCTGAAAATTTAATAAACGTGAGACACTGACTTTATAAATATAAATATAATCATTATACAATAATTTTTTTTGTTTAAAATAAAAAACGAATCAAATATATGAAGTTGTAAATAATATTAGTTTTATACACATATAATTAAAAATATCTTTTCTGGAAAATTAGTGTAAAATGGGCACCATTTGCATATTCATTATACATAATTTCACAATAAAAATATAAATAATTTCAATTCTTTTTTACAAATATTAATACATTTAAATACCCATCTAGTACACGGATATTGTATTAGTAATAATAATAACAACAATAACAATCTGAATTTGATGACGATTTGCCTGTGAATTGAATAATAATGTAAGAGAATTTTGCCAAATGATAAAATATAACACATGCTTTAATATAAACTCTCCGAGATATCTATTCGTTCTTCCTTTGTTGACTAACGTGGGAGAACAAAGCAAGCTCCATGGATCCATGTTGTGTGATCAATGATCATATACAATCTTCATTATGCTAGTCTATTTTTGGTTCAAAATGTCATGTCCATGTAATAAATGTTAAAAGTACTATAAGTTATGTGTTAGGATCATATGTGAACAAACTAATGTGTTTCATAGTATTAGCATGCACTCTTTGTAAGAAAACCTACCGCTAGCGTAACAATAGTATATGTGTAAAATGAACGATATACCGTTTAAAAACAGTATTTGTGTAAAATGAATGACAGATGCAGTCAACGTAATGCGGATAACACATCAACATTATAGTTAAAACATATTATATCATTCATATCAACTATGTGAAATTGAAGACTAGTTATAATTGTCAATACAACAATAGATGTTATATCATTTTTATTTTACCCACGGTGGATATGATATCAATATGACCACCAATTGATATGATATGAGATTAACAATATAATGCTCGATGAAAAATTAATTAAAATAGTATTAAATTTTTTAACCATAGATAGACATGAATCAATATGCCCGTCAATTGAGATGATCGAAAATTAACATATAATACACCATGAATATTCGATTGAAAGATCGCGAAATTTTAACCTAGCATATTTTAATCATTTTCGAATTCTATAGTGTATACCAAAGCATAACACTATTGGTTAGTTATTGTCCAACAAGAATACATGGCTTCAATGTAGGCCCAATAACCCTAGCTTCTGAAATGGGCCAACCACACACACAAAACGTAGCCCATCCAAACCCACAGTGGCACATCGGTAATATACATTCTTTTTCCACACTATATAAATTCTCCCCTCTGCAAACCCTAAATTTTACACTATCAAACCCTAGAGCTTCATTTCCCGCCCCACCATCACCAAATGGCCGCCGCCGCCCGACCCCTCGTGTCCGTCCAACCACTGGAGAACGACATGGCCACCGACGGAGGTTCCGCCGGCTCCAACTCCGTTCCCCTCCCCGACGTGATGAAGGCCGCCATCCGCCCCGACATCGTCACGTTCGTCCACGGCCAGATCTCCAACAATGCCCGCCAGCCCTACGCCGTCTCCAGACGCGCCGGCCACCAGACTTCCGCCGAGTCCTGGGGCACCGGCCGCGCCGTCTCCCGTATTCCCCGCGTTCCCGGTGGCGGCACGCACCGCGCCGGTCAGGGAGCCTTCGGAAACATGTGCCGCGGCGGGAGGATGTTCGCGCCGACCAGGATCTGGCGCCGCTGGCATCGGCGCGTCAACGTCACCCAGAAGCGCCATGCCATCGTCTCCGCCATCGCCGCCTCCGCTGTCCCCTCGCTCGTGTACGCCCGTGGGCACAGGATCGAGGAGGTCCCCGAGCTGCCCCTCGTCGTCTCCGATTCCGCTGAGGCCGTTGAGAAGACCAACGCCGCCGTCAAGATCCTTAAGCAGATCGGCGCCTTTCCTGACGCCGAAAAGGCCAAGGACAGTCACTCGATCCGCCCTGGAAAGGGGAAAATGCGCAACCGCCGCTACATCTCGAGGAAGGGACCCCTCGTCGTGTACGGGACTGAAGGAGCAAAGCTCGTAAAGGCTTTCCGCAACATCCCTGGCTTGGAGGTTGCCCACGTTTCCCGCCTGAACCTCCTCAAGCTTGCGCCCGGAGGCCATCTTGGGAGATTCATCATCTGGACCAAATCTGCCTTTGAGAAGCTGGATGAGATTTACGGGACTTTTGACAAGCCCTCCGAGAAGAAGAAAGGGTATGTGCTGCCCAGGACCAAAATGGTGAATGCTGACCTGGCCAGGATCATCAACTCCGATGAGGTGCAGTCTATTGTGAAGCCAATCAAGAAGGAAATCAAGAGGGCTCCCCTGAAGAAGAACCCGTTAAAGAATCTGAATGTGATGTTGAAGCTCAATCCGTATGCTAAGGCTGCTAAGAGGATGTCATTGCTGGCTGAGGCACAGAGGGTTAAGGCTAAAAAGGAGAAGCTTGACAAGAAGAGGAAGCAGAACACTAAGGTACTCTTGTTGTTGCATATTCACCTTTTTGCTGTAGTGATTATGCTGCTCAATATAAGCTATGTTATGTTGTATCTTGTGAATTTTCTGATGGGATTATCTGTTTTATATAATTTTTATATGGGCTGTTGTTGTAGCTGATCATTTGTTTATATTGTCATTATGCTAAAAATAGTCACTTGGGCTATGTTTGGTAAAACTAGCTTATCAGTAATTTTTGAGCTTATAGCTTATAGCTTATGACTTATAGCTGAAAAGCTAGCTTATATGATAAAAGTGTTTGGTAAAATTAGCTGATAAGCTAGCTGGAATAAAAAATTCAACTAGCTTGTTTGAAAAGCTACCTAAAGAAGCTTTTCAAATAAGCTCGAGCTTTTGTCCTACCAAACGAGGCTTATTTGAATATAAGGAGTTTATAAGCTAACCAATTAAGCTATAAGCTAGTTTATTTGTCTACCACACAGCCTTGGTCTCTGTTGTAAATTGTTTGTCATTGGTATTATATATCATTTACCTGTAGACTTTGTTTGATTCATTCTATGTACTGAGTTCAAAATTCACTTGTGCTAAATATTTGCTGAAGTAAGTTACATCTTGGTTTGTGATTGGCATACTTCAAATTCACTTGTGATATGTATTTGCTGAAGTTTCATCTGGGTTTGTGATTGGCATACCTGTTAGGCATATTTTAAATGGCTACACCTAAATTTTGTATATGTTAGGAATGAAATTGAGAATACAAATGCTTTTCTTAGGCTGCCAAGAGTTAGACGACAGTCATTCATTTTTACCAAAAATGTTTGCTTATACTATGAAATGTTGTACCTTTTTATATGACATTTGAGAGAATAAGGCTTCCAAACAATTAAATAGACTGAGGGGGTTGTATACGTTTGGAATTTCGAGTGACGTTTAGAGACATTTTGAGATTTGAGAATTTTTAAGATTTTTAGATTTTGGAAGAATACTGAGAAATCTTAATAGAGTGGAGGGATTTGGAGTGAGATTTTGTGTATGTTTTTTTCTTTAGAAATCCCATCAAATTTTTTAAAGTCTTAACAAATCTTAGTCTCAAATAAGTTAAATACCTTAGGATTTTGTAAGACTTTAAAATCCCACATGAATACCTCAAGATTTTTAAACGTCTTGAGAAGTCTAAATTAAATAAACCCTGAAGTCTTAAAAAGTCTGTAGAAATCCGAATTTAATACAACCCCCTAAACATAATAACATCTGAATTGAGAAACATATGCCTTTTCATGGTGAATATTTAGGTCACTGCATTTTGTATTTTGTTGCGTCTTTGGTCATTTATAAAGAACTTGCATTTTGAGTTTTTTGCATTTGCTCTCTTCTGATTCATTGTACGGCCGTTCGTTTTGTTTTTCCTCCTTGCTTCTTTTGTAGGAGGAGGCAGCATCAATTCAATCTGCTGGCAAGGCCTGGTACAAGACTATGATCTCAGATAGTGACTACACAGAATTTGAGAACTTCTCAAAGTGGTTGGGCGTGTCTCAGTAATTTTGATTCTCTTTATGTTTATTAGAAAAAACTACATGCAAAGTTTGTTTTGTGTTATGTTTTTCGGGTGTTGGAGATTGAGAAACAAAGATTGTGAGGTTTTATGGGATGGGAAAAAATATTGCAATAATGTACTTTATCCCCCCTCCAACTTTTTTTGGTACGTCGGTATTTTTTTCAGTTTGCGAGTTGTTTTTTCAAGACAAATATATTTGAAGACCCATTTTACTTTCAGTATTATTAAGTGTTCTACCCATTTTGTTTTTATATGCTAACTATGGTTTGCTTTGCCATCTATAATTGTGAAAATTTGATTCTATGCTGTTTTTTTCTTTTTTCTTTTTGGTCTGCTCAGTTGTGATTTTCTCATTTAAGCATTGAAATGAAAAGGAGAGATTCTTTTTTTTTTAAACAAAAAAATGTTTCTTTTATTCTGATCCTACAAAACTCCACAATGCAAATAATTGGAACTAATTATTATTATTTATTTGTCCAATGAAACAATGTACATTAAATAATGTCAATATGTTATCTTTACTACTTTCTCATTTGACAATTATGTTTCACATTTTCCAAATTTACAAATGGACAAAGATTAGTATTTTTCCCTTCCGTATTATTATATATTTGTCCAATGAAACAAAGTTCATTAAATAATGTAAATATGTTATCTTTACCACTTTCTCATTTGACAATTATGTTTTTCTCACATTTTCCAAATTTACAAGTGGACAAAGATTAGTAGTTTTCCCTTCCGTACCATTCACCAAGCATTTCCTTTCACTTTATATATCACCTCAACCAATTGGGTTATGTCCTTGTTCACAACACTTCTCCCACCTACCTGTATCTCGACTGGTTTATTAAAAAATTAACGAGCTAAGATTTCAACTTGACGATGGAAACTGAGGGAAAATGACACTGTTTGCCGATCTCCAGACAAATAACATATCTTTTATTTTTAGATCAAATCACCTATTTTATAGAACAAATCAACTTTAATTATTTCATTTTACATATTATTTTAATACAAGTTCAAAATTCCATTATAATCTAACTCAACAACCTTTTTAAAGTTCAAAATCGCATTATAATCTAACTCAACAACCTTTCTAAAATTAGCTCTTGTTAACTAAAAAAAAAAAAATCAAACTCAACCCAATTTATATCCAAGCACACTCTTAATGGTATATGTTTTTGGAAAAAATAAATTAAAAATTGTAGTAAACATAATTGCAGCCATATCAATAGTGGATAGCCAACACCATGGACTAGACATTACCACTCGCCGATCCGACTAGGTCAAACCCTTGGTCCGTGGTTTTACCCAAGCCAATTCAAGTTCAAGCATTTTCACCAGTTCAATGATTTTTTTTCCTATTATTTATTAACTATTTTTTTATGCCAGTTCGGCGTGGAACCGGCTGGCCAGCCCATATATACACTCGAGCCAATCTAGAGAAACTGACGTTTTGACCTGAAACCGATATTTGGCCACTTCTACCACAACATCTAAATTGGGCTTGTGGGATCCAAACAGTTGGACCATTATGGGCCAGCCTTGAAATAGTTATCTACTTTTGACTGCCCAATGTTATGAGTATGATAGTCATAAGTAATCTACTTTGACTACCCACGTGTTTGGGAGACTCTGAGTATGTTTGTTTATGGAAATTTTTCAAAAAGTATTCAACATTTTAACTCAATCATTTTTTTTAACTCAACCCCACCATCATTTATATTATTAATATAATTAAATAATATCATTCAATCATTCATACACACCACATCAACCTTAATTCACTATTCATCCACTCACATTGTTTTAACTAACCATCACTTCAATCATCTCTCTCCTACTTTTATATCAAATCAATTTTAATTATTTTATTTTAAAAATTATTTTAAATACCCACCAACAACTAACCATACCACTTTTTTTAAAATTAACCAAACCAAAACTAAAAAATCCAAACAAAACAAAAAATTTCCATAAACAAACATGCTTATCCTCCATACAGATACAATGATGCATTACATATTAAGAGTCTCTATTAAGGATCATTGAAAAAAAAAAGAAAGAAAGAAAAAAAAAGGAGTGCATTAGTATTTTTGTAAACTTAGTAGTTATTTTAGATTTTAAAATAAATTTTGTCCGACAAAACAATAATGACAAAAAGCTTGATATTCAATTTCACAAATATTGTTATTATGAGATTGATTAGTAGATAGACATGTCAACTTACTATATTTTTCTTTATATATAAAAATTATACTTATATTATGAAATATCATAAATTTGTTTTTGCTGTTTCATAAAATACATAAGTGTTTTTTTCTTTCTTTCTTTTTTTTCGTAAAGTACATAAGTTAAAAATGAAGAAGTGCGTATCTTAAATAAATAATATGATATGATTTTCTTTGTTACAATCAGATATGTCTAGCATAAATCTACATATCTCAAATGTTAAACTAAAAATCCCCCCCAATGCATATAAATAATGATAAAAATCTATTTGATAGTGACACCTTCAAAAAAAAAAAAAAAGATGATTTGGGTAAATATTTAAGTCACCAAATAATTGTTTTTTGACCCGGCCGGCCCGGCGGGTCGACCAGGGACCCGGTCGATCCGGAGCCGAAACCGGTTCGGGTGGACTATTAAGACCGAGTAACAATGGACCCGGTCAAAACCCGGTTGACCCAGTCTCTATAAATTTTTTATTTTTTAATATTTTTTATATAAAAAATAAAAATTATATAAATATAATGATATAGTAAATATTTATCATGAGATACAATATTATTAACACCTAAATATACAAATTTTGTATACAAAACATTTATTTTTCTTACTTTTATGTATATTTATATGTCAAAAATACTATATATATAATTTAAAAATTTTTAAAATTAATTATCCGATTCAACAATTGATCCGGTGACTTGGAGACCTGCCTGGGTCAATTTCCGGATCGGGTTTAAAAACTATGCACCAAATCACTAATTAACTATTAAGTTTCTACACTTTACATGAATTCTTTAATGATTATATTATTCTTGTCCCAACAAGTACCTGTAAACTAGTTTTTTAATAGTGCATTGAAAAAGTGTCTAACCTACTTTGTCAAAAATAGTCTTGAAGGTTTGAAGATGAAGTGATTAAGTGAAGCATCAGTTTTTCTACTAACCAAGCTCAAAATTGAAGCAACTTAAACACACAAATAAAAAATATTATTAGTAGTTACAAAAACTAAACAATAAAACAAAAAAATATACACATAAAATGGTACTACCAATAGTGTATTAGCCTAAAATTTAAATATGTGTATACTTTCAAAATGAAAGCATAATATTATAAAAAATAAAATAAAGAGGCTTGTGAAATTGTATAATATAAATATATTTAAATAAAAAAAATATAACAACTCGACTCATCTAATAATTACTAGTATGTACCCGTGCGATGCACGGTGGGGCGCATAATTTAAAACATATTAAAGTACTTATTTTAAATATAATTAATTCAATTTAACATCTAATTATAGAAACAAAAATAAAAAAAAAAAGAAATCATATATTATTAAAAACTTCTCTGTACACAACATTATTTGTTTGATTTGGGGGCAAATCATGTTCACCACATATTAGAATTTTCAGACCCCTTCTGTTGGTGACGCGCGAAACAGCAACATATAATTGGCCATGACTGAAAACTGGTTTCTTCAAGAATAAACCAACGTGAGATAAGGATTGACCCTGACTCTTGTTAATAGTCATTGCATAAGAGACCACGATAGGAAACTGCCTTCTTTGAAACTTAAAAGGTACTCTTGCATCGGAAGGAGTTATCGTCATTCGAGGTATCAACACTTTATCCCCTGCATGGTCGCCCGTAAGTATCCTACATTCTAGGACATGATTGGAGAGTCTTGTTACAACCAAACGTGTCCCGTTGCACAATCCCATAGAATGATCCATGTTCCGCAACAGCATAACCGGAGTTCCCACCTTCAGATGCAACTCATGATTTGGTGTACCAGAACACTTGAGAGAATTTAAGAACTCAGGAGTGTGGATTTCTGACAAGAAGTCAGAATCCAAATCGGATTTACACGTACTGTCGGAGCTCAAATATACACGACCTTCTGTTAGATTCAACGACGACATGTATTGGTTGATAGACTCAACGATCTCCAACGTAGGTGCAAGTATGGCTCTGTCCTTCAGATAACTTGGATCATCTGTTGCGTTCTTGAACATTGGATACGTGCTCTCAACAATTGCAGCAATGGGGTCATCGGATGGGTCTATTAATAGATCATCTGGTATTTCAATGGAGGCACAACCATCGTTAACACCTCCAATAGTACCATCTCCGATGCTAGCAATCCAATCAGCAAATTTAGAAAGCTCCTCACGTTCATCCGAATCATCAAGGCTCTGAAGACGCATGTTCTTCGTTAACCTAAGCACGGTACAATCTTGCCAAATGGTTGAAGCATTTATCGAAGCATTAACAATCTGTTGACGGTTCCCCTTTGGAATCACTGGTAGGATTTGTCGAAAATCTCCACCAAAAACAACAGTCTTGCCACCAAACGGTTTATAATGGTTCATCGGGTTGACCGTTCCCATGATCGCCTGAAATGACGTTTGAACAGCTTCGAAGCAATGCTTATGCATCATTGGAGCTTCGTCCCATATGATGAGGGAGGACCGTATAATTAGCTCTGCCAGAGGGCTAGCCTGGTTGATATCACAGGACGCATTTTCGTGAAGATTAATAGGTATGCCAAAGCGAGAGTGTGCAGTTCTTCCACCAGGCAACAGAAGAGAAGCTATTCCACTCGATGCAACACAAAGCACGATCTGACCCTTCGATCGCAATCCCGCAGCTAATGTTCTCCACAAGTACGTCTTACCGGTTCCGCCATAACCGTAGACAAAGAAAACACCGCCCTGACCTGAGTCTACCGCTGCCATAATTCTTGAATAAACTCCTTTCTGTTCGTCAGTCATATTTCTAAGAAGATTACTGTGCTCGACAGATAAGGCCTTGCGGTCATAATTTAGCTCATCCAAAATCAATCGATTTGTACTCGTAGTAACACCGGTCATATCAGGAAAAGGCATTGTTGGATATTCTCGAAGACTCGTACCGCGACGTCTCAACAAATGTTCAATTTCAGCGAGAGCTAAATTTTTTATATCTGCATCACTCAGCTGCAAACCTAAGAAGGAAAACAATTCAAAGTCAGAATTACAAAAAATCGACTATAGTACTTAAAAAGGAAATGAAAAATAAT